AAAGTGAATGACGTTTTAACCTTTAAAAGAGATCTCCATTTCATTTTAAAATATACTGTTTCATACAGAAAAATTCATTCTTAATGACACTTAGATGTTATGTGCATATGTGTCTCTAATCTCTATGAATCTGATTATTACTAGTCAGTTGGTTACTTTCTGAGATTCACCTCAGCATGGATATAAAATCATCAGGTAGATTTCAATGGTAATGTTTTTCACATCTACCAATTATTAAGGAGCAAACTTTTATACTTTGAAGAATTCTTCTTTTTTTTAATTAAAAAAAATATTTATTTTTACACCCACTTCCCAGACAGCACCCTCCCATAGCTTCCCTCCCCCCACTAGAGCCCTTATACTCTGAATAAGCCAGGGATGTTGGTGCATGCCTTTATTCCCAGCACTGGGGAGACAGAGGCTGGTGGATAGATGTGAGATGGGGGCCAGCCTGGTCTACATAACAAGTTCCAGGCCAGCTGGAAGAGAGGGAGATCCTGTCTCAACAACCCCACACACACACAAAAGAAACCCCCCAGAAGATTTAATAGTTTTCTCATTTTGGCAGATGTACAACTATACACACACATTTTCAATGAATAATGGTTTTATTATAAATTCCCAAGCCTAAAAAGCTTTACACAGTTTATTTCTGATCTTTCCATTACACATTTACAAATCCTGGCTTGACTTTTTAAAATGATGAGTTTCCGGCTTAAGTAATCTACGTATGAAGATTGTGTAATAAATCTGGCCCAAAGCCTTAAAATTATTTTTAGTTCTGTTGTACTAAAAGAACATGTAAAAATTTATTAATGCAAATTCACAAGTTTTCCATTCATTCCTTCATTCCTTCTCTCCCCAACCCCTTCACACTTCCCGCCCCCGCCCCCCTTTTTTCTCAGGATTGGAGAAAGGGAGAGAAGGGAAAGTTTAATGAGTCACACCGTACTCGGGCACTTATTCCCAGGCAGTTTCCCATTAACTTCACATTCTGGCCCCTTTGGCTATTAGATGACCAGCCTTTTCATCTTCAGGCTCTTAATCACACTTCATATAAACAGAATCAAACACATATAAACACAGAATCAAAGCCTAAAATTTTTTCAATATAAAATTTTAAAATACATTGAAAAGTTTCAAAAATACAAACCAACTGTATAGTGACAAAAAGTAGATCAATGAGGCCAGGCGTAGTGGTACACATCTTTAGTCCCAGCACTTGGGAGGCAGGGGCAGAGGCAGAGGAGGCCATCCTGGTCTACATAGCAAGTTCCAAGCCAGTCAGGGCAACATAATGAGACCTTGTAAGGGGGGAGGGAAAAAAAAGAAAAAAGAAAGAAAAGGCCATAATGAAGCATCACAAAGGGCCACAAAGAAATATTTGGGATAAGGGACATGTCTGTTACCTTGATTAAATGTTGGTGGCAGACTGGGGATATAGCTGAGGTAAGACAGCACAGGCATAAGTAGGAGCTCCTGCAACTCAGTTCTTGCCTACTACAAAATACATTGATTACACACATTTTAATCTATGTTTTCAGTCTTTTTGTTCCCTTGTTTGCTCGCCTACCTGTGGGAAAGACTGTTCTTTTTATTCAAGATTAAGCCTCTACTCCCACATCCCAACAACTAAAATAGGATACCAAATTTTTCAAATACAAATTACTTTCTGATACTAATTTTTAAGTGGCTGTAATTTAATGGGTTTCTTTTGAGGACTCATCTCAGTTTTGTAATAGAAATATATGAAGGAACATATACTGAACCAGATGTGTATTGACCTATGAGAGAAAAATATTTTGTGTTGAAAATTAACCTTCTCCTAAAACTTAAAAAAATCAGTAAGCAAAGAATTAAGTAATACCAATGACTAAACGCAGGCAAATTTGCAGTACTACCTGAATGAGCACTTAAGAGTTAGATGAACGAGATGATATGGAAAGCCAGAAATCAGCATGCATTAGCTACTTATCTTGCAAAATGTTCTGTACTGGTTTCTTTAGTATCAATTATACATACTGTATTTCCTTGATTTTTAAGATGTCATCAATTGTAAGACGCCATCATTTAAAATATAAGCTGGAGAGATGGCTTAGCAGTTAAGAATGCATACTGCTCATAGGGCTGGAGAGATGGCACAGCAGTTAAGAACACTGGTTGTTCTTGCAGAAGACCCGAGTTTGAATCCCAGCACCCACATGGCAGCTAACAACTGTTTGTAACTCCAGTTCCAGGGGATCCAACAGCCTCTTCTGACCTCCGCAGGCACTGCACGACATGGGTGCACTTATCTACATGCAGGCATAACACTTATACATAGAAAATTTAAAAAAAAAAAAAAAAAGAATGCATACTGCTCTTACAGAGGACCCGAGTTTGGTTCCCAATACCTATATCTGGTAGCTCACAAACACCTGAAACTCCAACTAAAAAGGGAACCCCACATCTCTGGTCTCCACAGGCACCTGCACACACATGCATATATATATACACAAAGACACACACATATACATAATTAAAAATAATAATAAATGTAAAAGAGTAGTTCATACGTAAACTACATTTAGCATTTTGAGGAATTTCCAAACTATTTTCCAAAGCAGCTACACCATTTTACATTTCCACAAGTAAATATGGGGGTCCCAACTTTGTAAATCTTTACCAACACATAACTATTATTCTTATTATAGTCATTCTATGTATGACTATATACATAGAATGTATATACATACATTCTATGTATGTACTATGTATGACATAGTATTTTATAGGTTACTACAGAAAGATAAATTAGTATTTTATAGGTTACTACAGAAAGATAAATTAACCCTTTCTCAGCTGTATATTTACATTGTAATATTTTTCCAACATAAATGAGAGCTTAGTGTTGCTCTTCCAATTTGAGTGATCTCCTTTCTGATGAGCAAAAGCACTTTTAAAATGCCTAGCACAAGTTTATATGGGTACCAGAACAGTTTATCCTCTGCGTAAAGTTATGTAAAAACACAGCCACATGATTAGCACTGTTATTCTACAAACCAAACCATGGAAAACATTCAGTTTTAAGGGTGCAGCATTTTATTTTTTTCTTTATAGCCTTGACAGTGATTCATATTGTTTCAATCCATCCTTTCATAACATCCATCCTAAGCACACAGCAGAGAGCCTCCCTCCATAGTTAACACTACTTTCACCCTCTGACTGAAAATAGGAAGAAGAAACTTTTTTTGAAAACCCATAGATGTCTTCATCAGGTCTCCCATTTACCAGTTAGAAAATGATGCTTCAAAATGCCAAGATAATTAATTCCCATCAATAATTTTCAGGAATATCTTGATGCAAATTAGTATTTTCCGATCATCTATATCATAAAATAACTTCTACTTACTTTCAGGCTTTGCATCTGCTGCAGCGTGGCGCATACTTTTCAGCTGATTTTGTACTCTTTGCAATCTCTGCAGTGCATGAAACAGCTTTAAAGAACAATTAGATTTATTACTTACTTAGTCTACTGAAACTTAATGCTCATAAGGAAAACAATGAAATATACATAGAATTCTTATGCTAGAAACAAAACATAAGAACTAAGAGACAACTACATTAAACTAAAATATAACTAGTTCTTCCACTATGTTTTAATGTAAATGTAAAGATTTTTAAAATTTTATGTGTATGTGTGCATGTCTGAATGTATGGATGTGCACCAAGTGTGTGCAAATCTATTCAGAGGCCAGAAGACATTAGATCCCCTGGAACTGGAGTTACAGATGGTTGTGAGCTGCCATGTGGGTGATGGGAACCAAATCCAGGTCTTATGCAAAGGTAGCCAGTGCTCTTAACCACTGGGTCATCTCTCTAGTCCCTCATATAAATTTTAAAAATGCTTACAGAATTTTTTTCTTTATTGTTGAATTTAGTGATTAAAGAAAAATATTTGTTAAAGAAATAAAAGCATCAGGCTTTTCTTGTGTAACATGGCTTTCTTAATCCTAGTATACGTTAACATTCTCACAGTGATGTCTCAGGCTGCAGCACAACCACTGTGGCGCCAAGTCAAGCTCCAACAGAGCTAAATATCTAAGGGCCTGTTTACATTGGAAGTTTAACAATGACACTGATTTGAAATATATTTTTTTTAATTTAAGACCTTTTTTTTCTTTTTCTTTCTTTCTTTTTTTTTTTTTTTTTTTTTTTTTTTTTTATGGGTTGAGGGTCTCCCTGCAGCCCCAGCTGGCCTGGAACTCACTATGTAAACAAGGCTGACCTCAGACTCACAGAGATCTGCCTGTCTCCCAAATGCTGGCATTAAAGGTGTGCGCCACCACGCCCGGCAAGACATATTTATTTTTTTAATTTTTTTAATTTTTTAAAATTTTTAATTGAATTTTTGTGTATTTCATCCAGAAAATCATCTTTATACCCCCTTACCCTTTGGCACCCTTCCATAGTCCCCCTTCCCACTGGAGTTCACACTATCTGTCATTTGTTTTAGGGCCTATTATGTAAAGTTAATGTCCCCAGATGTCCATCAGTGCAAGTTCATCCACTGGGATCTAGTCAGCCTATCTAGAATCCTTCCCTTTAAGAAGATCAGCTCTTCCTCATCCAGCAGTAATCGGCTGCCAATAATTCTTCAACTAAGATTGGGGCTTGCTGTTCATTTCCACAGTTCTGTGCTGAGTTTTTGTCTGCTTAAGTATGCATGGGCCTTGTACATGCTGACACCATTGCTGTAGGCTTGTGTGAGAAGGGTCCCAGGAACTCGTAGGACTATTTCCATATGATCATGTACCTCCTCCCTGGCTCTTACAATCCTGTAAACTTAAAGGAATATCTTAAAGGGAACAAGGGGGCAAGCAAGATGATGGGGGGGGGGCAGTTCTTGCTGCCAAACCTAACATCCTGAGTTCTGGGGACCAGAGATAGCCATATTTTTGGATAGTCAGATAGATAAAGGACAGCTGATAAATAATAAAGATGGCATACTTCTGTTTTCTTGGTCTGAAACAAAGGTCTGGGGGTCCTTTCTCCAGCAAACAGGTTTCTCATTCCTGCTGACTAGCTCAGACTAGTTCAGATAAAACTGAGGGGCGACCTAGACGCCTCACTATTTGAAGACATTAACCTGTCATCCTTCTCCTCTTTGTTCAAGCTAGCCAATCTAATATTAGGAGCGGGGAAACCACTAAACCCCTTAAAAACCCAGACGCTTCCAGGGAAATGTAGATGTTCAGTTTCCAAATCCTCTCTCCACTTGTGGGAGCTTTTCTCTGTAATGTATGTTTGTATGTGACTCTTCATCTTTCAATAAAAGTTTGCTTGCCTGCTGTTATCTGCTAGTCTGGGATTTTTCCTGCTTTTTGGATAAAGGGAAAGAAGGAGCTCAAGAGAGGTAGGACCATAGGAGAAGGGTATTAGTAAGGGAGAAGGGGGAAATGGGGGAACCTTAAGTGGGAAAAGCATGATGGAGGGGTGAGACAATGTGAGAGATAAATAATGCCTAGGTAGTTTTGAAAACCAGAGAGAACCATATTACTCCTACAACGTACTGACAAATTATACATAGCAGATCAAGAAATATATGCATATGTAAGGTTTATCTGAGAACAACTGATCATTACCCAAGATTTATCTGCATGACACACAGTAATTAAAAATGCCAGAATGGTGGAACTAACCTTCTTGGATGTTTAATAGGCAAGACATATTTTTAATAAATTAAAGTAAGCTGGTTTCATACATACTATGAAAGCCAAAATAAGGTATTGTTGCTGTTGATGACACCACAAAATACTCTTAATTAAGAATAGTCTGGAGGGGGCCAGTGAAAAGGCTCAGCAGTACAGGCAATTGCCAGTAGATCTGGAGACCTAAATTTAATCCCTGCAGTTCCTCTGACCTCCATCTGCGCACCATGGCCTATGCACATGCACACATCATGCACACATCTCTTTTCTCTCTCTCTCTCTCTCTCTCTCTCTCTCTCTCGCACACACACACACACACACACACACACAAATTTTAAAAATAAAAAAAGAGCAGTCTACAGCCAGGCCTGGTGATACAGGCCTGCATAGTGAATTCAAGGTCAGCCTGAGTAACTTGGACCCTACATAGCATGGTCTTAGTAAGTCCTTGCATAGCATGAGCAAGGGCCTCGGTTTGATCCCCAGCAACACTCACTCACTCACTCACTCACTCACTCACTCACTCACTCACTGACCCTAAAGAAAAAAGAGTAGGTCCAGCATGCTACCAAAAGGAAATATGAAATCCTAAAATCCTTTCTCCTTTGTATTTGAATTACCAAAAGGAGCCACTACTTCTTTTATCCTGAGAATATAAATGTCAAGTGGATACCTGATTCTTTTGTTCCTGTTTCTGTTGTGCAAGAAATTCTTCTCTCTCTTTTTCAACTCGAAGTTGCCTTGCTATTTTAAGCATTCGTTGATGATTCTGAACCGTCTCCACCTACAGTAAGGGAAGAAGTAGTGCATGTTACTGTCAGCCTTGAGAAAGACATTAGCAGGTCACATGATTCAGACATCCGCTTCACATTTCCTTTTGGTAAACAGTACTCCCTAGAGATGACAGCAAGCTCTAAACTCCAGGTCCTTGAAAGTTCTGGGCTACTGCCTAGGGAGATTCCCTTTCGCATCCTGTTACTTGAGTTCAGCCTCAGATGGACACCCATGCCTGGCTTAATCTTTATTTACATTCCTAAATCTCTGCCAGTCCTTGGGACTTGGGACTGAAGTCTATAGTGCTAATTCTTGACTTACCCTTTTCTTCAAACGTTCAACTCTCTTAATGAGCTGGTCTTTTTCTTCCTCCATTGCACTGATGTCCTTAAAAGCAGTAAAAAGGACATAAAAAGCAATCTTAGTCTCTAGGGTTCAGATAAGGTTTTCATAAGGCTATGCACCTAACATTTCATCATTTATAACCAGAGCAGTAAAGAACAAAGAACCTCTTTAGGGCAAAGAACATTTCTATTTTCTTCCAGGGTTCTTCATGCAGAATTTTTTTTTTTTAAGCAGCCTGGTGTTCATCTAGAAAAGCAACTAAAGCAGGTTATAACGCAGCAAGGTAAAGCTGCCAACTAGCACACATGTGTTCTCATTCCAAATATGGGTACTTGATTTTTCAAAAACTTCTATAATGAAAAGTATTCAGGTCTAAATACATGAACAGCAGTTCCTCACATCCCTTTTGTGCTGTTAAATATTGAACCAGGCATTCTGCCAGTCCCCATCAAATTCTTTTTAAGGCTATGTTGTTCTTAAGACATAAAATTGTACCAGTTAATCAATTCTCTCCCTGAAAAGAAAAAAAAATTACAAATAAATTACCTTCCTTTAAACCAGCTCTAATAATAATGGTAATGAAAACAAAGAAATGAAATTCTTTTTTAAACCTAAAAGCACCAAAAAACAGGGCAGTAATAAATTATGTAAAATAAACAGTGCTAACCAGTATTAGCAGAATTTCAGAAATGAGCACTCTTACTACTGATAGTGTTATATTAAAGAATAATGCAAGAAGTAATAGGGGCTAGAGAAATGGCTCAAAGGTTAAAAGTACTTGATGCTTTTGTAGAGGATCAGAATTCAGTTCCTAGCACCCACATGGCAACCCACAACCTCCTGTAACTCCAATTCCAGGGGATCTAACACCTTCTTCGGTCCTCCATGGGCACTCGGCATGCATTGCATGACATGGGTGCACTTACATACATGCAGGCTATATCCCTCATACATATAAAATAAAAATAAATAAAATATTTTTAAAGAGTACTTTAGTAATAATGAAATTAAAATTCAAACTCTGGGCTGGGCATGGTGATGCATGTCTTTAATGCCAGCACTTGGAAGGCAGAGGATTTCTGGGAGTTCAAGGCCAACCTGGTCTAAATAGCAACTTCTAGGCCAGCTGGAGCTATATAGGGAAACCCTGTCTCAAACAACAAAAACAAAACCAAAAAAAATATAGACCTTGGAATCTTTTATCATTTTGATTAATTTATAGGCCTCAAAAGAGGAACAGGAAATGAACATTAATATCTAATTGGTCTTTTTTTTCTTTTGGTCTTTTTGAGACAGGGTCACCCTGTAGCTCCAGCTGGTCAGGAACTCGCTGTGTAGTCCAGGTTGGCCTTCATCTCACAGAGATCCACTGTCTCTACCTCCCAAGTGTTGGGATCAAAGGTGTGTGCCACCACACCCAGTGGTCTTTCATTTTTTTTTTCTGACACAGGGTCTCACTATGTAGCTCTGGTTGGCCTGGAAACTCACTGTATAAACCAGGTTGTCCTGGAACTTGCAGATATCCTCTTGCTCTCTGCCCACTGAGTGCTGGGATTAAAGGTATGTACTGGTCTTTCTCATCTATTAGATCTGAGTTCATCTTCCATTTCTAATATTCAACAAACTCCTATTAGGAACCTGTCATGTGCCAAACAGTGTGACAAGCCTGAGGAATACAGTAATGAAGACCACAGACACAGTCTTTGATTTCTGAGCGTTAAAGGTATTTAGAAAGGCAGACATTAAAGTAATTTATAAGGGCAATGAATGCCATAACAGGAAAGAATTAGGGAAAACTCATCTATTTAGGGAACTAGGGACAGCTGCCCTAAGGAACAAACTTTGATGTTCCTGATTTAATGAGAATGTAAAGATAGCATTGATAACTCAGGAATTCTAAAATTACAAAATTCATGCAAGTCAGAATAGCAAGTGTTTGAGGAAAGCACGTAAGTGCCTGGGCAGAATGTAAAAATATTTTTATGTATTCAAATAATGGAGAACACGTATTAATAAGGGACAGCTGCCCTAAGGAACAAACTTTGATGTTCCTGATTTAATGAGAATGTAAAGATAGCATTGATAACTCAGGAATTCTAAAATTACAAAATTCATGCAAGTCAGAATAGCAAGTGTTTGAGGAAAGCACGTAAGTGCCTGGGCAGAATGTAAAAATATTTTTATGTATTCAAATAATGGAGAACACGTATTAATAGCACACACCTTTAATCCCAGCACTTGAGAGGCAGAGGCAGGCAGATCTCTGTGAGTTC